CCAGCATCCTAGCTCCTCTTTTAGTAGGCATTCCAGTCTCCTTTTTGGAGAACCTTCCATGGTGTATAGCCTTGCTGAGAATTAGTGGCCAAGTCCCAATACAGAAACCAAAGGGATTGTCCCTTTAGTAGCTTGGGGGATGGGCATACAAATCAGACTCTTCCAATTGGAAGTGCCTTTGTGCCTTGAACTTTGTATCTAGAACAAATGTTGCAAGGACTTGGTCAGTTGGAGATCCCATCTATTCCTTAAGCCTGCAGCAGACTGTGACCCTTGTACTACCTCGCTCTCCCCGCTGTATCACTTTCGCAGTGATTTCTGTTGCCTAGCCCTATGCAGCAGCTAGCTCTTCCAAACCTATCTCATCATTGACCCTGTAAGACCCTGTCCAATAAATTCCCTTTTTCCTTAAAATTGGTAGTCTGTTTCTGTTGTCTGAAACCACGAACCCTGATTGATACTGCCATCAATGTTGCTCTACTAGATATTACAGTCAGTTTCAGCAAGGTATAGGCTATGGGGAAGCTCAGAATTGAAGCCGAAGCTGAAAGCTAGGCTTTGGAAAGGACAGGAACCAGCCCTACAGAGCTCTGTACCAAGAACAGGTGGGTGCCATCAATGAATGAATGTACATCAAAACTTTTCAGTCCCTAGGTCCATCACTTTGTTCATTCCAGGAACAGAGTGCAATGAATGGCCCTATCTGAGGTTAAGGGTGTATGGTAGGCAGAATGGCCCACCAAAAATGTCCACATCCCAGAGCCTGTGACTATTTTACCTTACATGGCAAAGGAACTTTGCAGATGTGATTGAGGACTGTGAGATGGAGAGACTATCCTGGATTACTTGGGTGGATCCAACGTAATCACCAAAACCAAACCAGTTGCCATTGAGTTGATTCCAACTTACGACGACCCCATGTGCCCTATGTATTTCATAGTAGAAATGTGCCCCATAGGGTTTTTGTGGCTGTGACCTTTTGAAGCAGATCTCCAGTTCTTTCTTCTGAGGCCCCTCTGGGTGGATTCAAACCACCAACATTTCAGTTAGTAGCTGAGTACTTAACTGTTTGCGCCACCCAATGATTCCTAACATAATCACAAACCAAAAACCAAACCCATTGCCACTGACTTGATTTCAACTCATAAGGACCCTATAGGACAGAGTAGAGCTGCCCCATGGGGTTTCCAAGGCGTGGCTGGTGGATTCAAACTGCCGACCTTTTGGTTAGCAGCCAAGCTCTTAACCACTGCACCACCAGGGCTCCAATGTAATCATAAGGGTCCTTAAAAGTGGAGAACCCTTCCAAGCTGGGTCATAGAGACATGACTACAGAAGCAGGATTGGAAAGATGCTACATTGCTGGCTTTGAAGACAGAGAAACAGAGCCAGAAGCCAAGGAATGCAGGCAGCCTCCAGAAGCTGGAAAAGGCAAGGAAACGGAGTCTCCCATAGAGCCTCTGGAAGGAACACAGCCCTGCTGACACCTTGATTTAGCCCAGTGAGACACGTGCCTGAGTTCTTACCTACAGAACCATAAAATAATAAAGTTGTGTGCTTTAAGTCACTAAGTTTATGGTAACTTGTTATTGCAGAAAATAGAAAACTAATACAGTTCACCCTTTGACCTGGAAAAGACATTACTTTGACAGTCCTACCAAGGCCGTATCCCTTGGAGAATAGAGGGACGGTTCCTTGTGTGAAAATCACGTGCCATTAGCAAATGAAGGAAAGGATGCTGAGCAGGCAAACCATGATACCCACTGCAACCAACCACTACAGCCCCTTGCACATAAACATATTTAATCAAAATCTGTCCAACTGAATATTTAGGGCCAGCAACTGATCAGGTTAAACATTGTGGGTGAGAAGCCTTGAGAAACCAAAGAGAGCTTTATAAGGAATGTAAATCCAATATTTACATATGCAAAATATACATACATATATGTATATATGGCGCAGTGGTTAAGAGCTACGGCTGCTAACCAAAAGGCTGGCAGTTCCAGTCCACCAGCTGTTCCTTGGAAACCCTGTGGGGCAGTTCTACTCTGTCCTATAGGGAGACTATGAATTGGGATCGACTCAACAGCAACGGGTTTGGGTTTTTTTCCTGGTTACATGCATCTTAAAAATTTTGTCATAAAAAAAAATCTCGTGAAACTTAAAAAGGTCTGATTCCCCCTTAGTAACCCAAACCCACTGCTGTCAAGTCAATTCCAACTCATAGCAACTGTCCCGTAGTGTTCCCAAGGCTGCCACATCTTTCTCCCGCAGAGCAGCTGGTGGGTTTGAACCACCAACCTGTTAGTTAGGCACCCAAGCGCTTTAATCATTGTGCCACTAGGGCTCCTTCTCCCTTAGTAAAGATGTAGCTAATTCAGCCGGCTACCCTAGCAGTTAGACTTATGGACCTGTTCTATACAGTGGAATCACGCGCTTAGTCACTGACTAATTAGTTGTTGATAAATGAGAGACACTAATGGAGACCTATTTAAAGCACATAAAATGAGATGGAGTTATGGTCCACCAGTCTAAGAATGCATAACTAGGAGAGCTAAAGGAGCAATAAAGGGGATTTACTATACCTATCTAAAAATCCTGATTGTGGCCACTTAAGGTCACTGGAAGACTGGAGTGAAGTGATTCAAGTCAAGCCGTCCACAGAGCCAGGCTGATGTCCAACACAGCCTCAGCTTTTGAACGCTTGGCCTGACTCTGCAGCAGTTTAACAGTAGGTAACAAAAATACCATTTTGGAATATAGTAGAACATTACTTTAAACGGGTCATGCATTGTCAGCTCATAATTCAGTTAAGAGGATTTGGCACCTAAAGATACTTTCCCTGCAGTTAACGAGATCCATGCTCAGATGGCAGTAAGGTTAGCATGGTCACCTTTTTCAAGGTGAATCTTTGTTCTAGTGAAACCAATTTTGGCTGTGAGTGTTCCCTTGGGAGTCTGTGTATTTGTTTTTTTGCTGTTGGGATTTGGGAGGGGTGCAAAGGAAGAGGTTCCTTTCCAAAAGACCAGAAACCAGGGATACGAAGGCTCAAAAAAAGATGATTCTAGGAAGACTGTTCTCAATCCTGGCCATACAGTAGAATATCCTGGGAAACTTTAAAACAAACGAAAACACCAATATCTGGTTTCAGAACTCTAGAGGTGGGACTCAGGCATCTGGATGTTCTAAAAGCTCCCCAAACCAATCAGTACTCAAGTGAGTACTCATGTATTCTGACTCTTGGCAACCTCACGCGTTTACAGAGTAGAAGTGCCAGCACCGTTGAGTTTTTATAGCTACAACCTTCAAGGAGATGGCAAGTCTTTCTTCTGAAGCTTCTCGGGGTGGGTTTGAACCTCCAACCTACCTATTAGTAGCCCAGGGCTTAACAGTTTGTACCACCCAGGGACTCCTAGAAGCTCTCCAGATAATTCTAATGCCTGGTCAGTGCTGCCAGCGTTAAGAACCATTGCTTTAGAATTTTACAGTGTGGTTTACCTTGTAGGTCATTAGTTTTGTGGTGTTCTCTTAGGGGAGGTATGGCCTAACAGTGCTTCTCAAATGTCATTGTGCCTTAGAGCCTCTAGGGCACTGTTGAAAATTCAGACTCCCAAGCTTCCTCAGAGTCCTAGGAGTTCACGCTTGCGTGATGCCTTGTTGTTACGTGCTGTCGAGTCAGTGCCGACTCATAGTGACCCTACATACAACAGAAATGAAACAATGCCTGGCCTGTGCCATCCTCATGATTGTTGCTATGTTTGAGCCCACTGTTGCACCCACTGTGTCCATCCATCTCGTTGAGGGTCTTCTTCTTTTTCCATGACCCTCTACTTTACCAAGCATGATGTCGATCTGCAGGGACTGGTCCTTCCTGATAACATGTCCGAAGTATGTGACACGCAGTCTCGCCATCCTCGCTTCCAAGGAGCGTTCTGGCTGTACTTCTTCCAAGATAGATTTGTTCTTCTGGCAGTCCATGATATAGTGAATATTCTTCGGCACTCCATGGTATACTCAAGATGCATCGATTCTTTTTCAGTTTTCCTTATTCGCTGTCCAGCTTTCATATGCATATGAGGCAACTGAAAATACCATGGCCTTAGTCCTCAAGGTGACATCTTTGCTTTTTAACACTTAAAGAGGTTTTTTGCAGCAGATTTGCTGAATACTATAGGTCGTTCTGTTTCTTGACTGCTGTTTCCATGGTGTCTAGGAAACTTCATTTTATCTGTTGCAAGTAGTCTGAGAACAGTCTGAAACATTAGAGCTTGCGAAAAAACAGCAGTTGGCAGATTATGGCCAACTAGGAATGCCTGGAAGAAGAGAAAAACAACTTTGTGAGTAAAGAGCCCCATAACGCCCGTGTTGAGTCGCTCCCTCTACTCTGGGCAGTTTTATACCTGTGTTCCTCTCTGTAGTTGGGTTGTCCCCGCTACTCTGGGCAGTTCTGGCAGGGGCCAGTGAAGAAGGAGACGTGAGTTGGGCAAGGTGTGTGGCGCTGGGTGTGGTTGGCTCTGTGTTCGGGAAAATTCCCTCAGGGGTGGGAGGCGGCTAGCTTTTCTCCGTAGCCACTTCCCTCTTACGCGCCGCTCGCTCCTATGTAAGGCTATTCAGTGTTCTATTTGGTCCTCTGCTCTTAGAGTTGGCTCCCGCGTCCGCTAGGAGCGCCGGTAGCGGAGGACAGAGGAAGGAGGAACTGCCCCGGCGGCCAGTCTCCGGGGAGGGGGCGCGACGCACGTTTTCCGGCTCCCGCTGAGCGGCAGCTGCGGGCCAGGGCGCGCGCACCGTGGGGCCGGCCGCCTAGGCGCGGCCT